CTCATATCTCTTATATTGATGTTTGCCGTGTTGGGTCGTTGGGTCCAACGACAAACCCAACGCAAAACTCGGATCCCTAAATTGCGACTGGTATAAATTACAGAAACAAATCTATCAACCCAATAAAGCATATAATATAATAATTTATACACATTTGCATTGAAAACATTATGATTCAAAAATGACAGTAGACTGTCTTGTACAGCATACAGTATACAAGATATTAGTTTAAATCATATTTTCACAATATGCAATAACACTAAAGTAAAATTTCAAAATAGATAACAAAGCTGTAAGACACTTATCCAAGGGACAAAGGGGGATTAGAATTGAACAGTGTACAACATATTTGATATTCGAGGGGGGGGGGGGGGGGGCAATTATTACTTTACTTTGTTTACTACCAGCCAGTAAATTAACTTTCTAACTAAACTAAGTCAGACAATAAACAACAGAGACTTTGGCTTGATTTTCTGAACAGCAAGAATCTGAAATATTGATGAGACTTGTTGAAGACTTGTCTAACTTGAGTAGTCACATCCCTTACAAAAAGATTCGTTTTGGTAGGGGATTACTGCATGAGGAATCTTCTTTGCAGCATTTCTGAATTGAACTAGAATGCTATAAAGAAATACTATATCAGTACAAAAAATTAATAATCTCTCTTTGCCTGCCTGCCTGTACTATTTTTGACATGCAGTACCTGTTAATGCTTCCTGGGCAAAATATTTGACATCAACATCAGAATCTGCATTCAGTTTGTCCAGACACGGCTTGATCTGTCCCTGAATAGTCCTGAAATAAAGCACAATTCTTTAATACACATTATTTAAAGAGTAGTGTTTGAACTGGCTTAAATTTATCACGCATAATCAATTAACTTACGATGCATCCATCAGGGGCCCAATTTTCTGGAGAGTTTTAGCAACATTGAAGCGAACGTTAGCAACAGTGTCCTTTGATAGATTGAGGACAACTGGTAACATGAGGTTAACAGCATTCTCTGGACCACAAACCTCTGCAAGAACCTGAGGAGAGTCATAATCATAGTCATTACAATAATCATACCCACCACCACTTGGGCTCCCCAGTCTATTATAAGTGGTCCTGTGCTCATTGAGAACATGCAGAGTTGAAGAGTCAGTCATTTCAATTATAAGAACTGAACTTGTATTTCACTTTATCATATTTTTATCATTTGAAAGTTTATTGGTTGTAAAGGGGTGAGGTTTCTTTCTCTCTGCCTTCAATTGGAAAAGCATAAAATAAATAAAGTATCATCAGCATCATCAACATCATCACCATCACTATTATCATCATAAGCATCATCATTGTTGTTACCATAATTACCACCAACACCATTATCATTATTATATTGAATGAATACAGCGCATGGATAAACAAGAGTGAAAGTTGATAGCAAGGAATATACTTACACTGACAGAATGCAGTGTTGTCAGGCGGTGAAGATAGTTTGGTTCTCTAGCCATAGCAAGTACTTTTGGTATGACTTTGGCCTGTTGAATTAAATTCAAGTGATACTCATTATGCATATGCATAACTAAACAGAATGCATGAATTAACCATCCACAAAGCATCTGGAGCGCAGTTATTATACCCGTGAAAAAAACCCACATTTGTTAGAACTTCATACCACAAAATATCAGCTAAATGCAAACTTAGTAAATAAATGAAAAATAGCAATAGGCTGATTTGGAATTCACACATGAATATATCTACCATGCAACTTTATTAGGTGTGAATGCATCTCAAGCTTGAACAATATAATTGATGCATTCATGTTCAATCACACTTGAATAAACCTTGATTAGATGAAAGTACCAGGTGCTGGTTCAATACCTCCAGGCATACAATAAAATTTCTGGCTGAGAGATGTTTACTATTTGTTGATATAAAAAAACAGTTACATAATAATTTTTTTTTTGATTTTGTTGCACAGGTGTAATGACTGCACTCTGTCACTATATAATAGTGTTTATTATACCTGAGCCCATTCTGTCCCAAATTTTTCCACAAGATTTTTCAGGTTTAGTGCTGCAGCCTCACGTATTGCACACACATGGTCAACGAGCCAAGTCATGCACAGATTGTTCAGTTTCTCATCAAAGAATTCCACACCCAGTTGACCAGCAAGTAGTGGCATATATTCTATGATAGCAAGTCTGACACGCCACTTGGTGTCCTCTGCTAGTTCTACAATGGCTGGTAGTAGTGACTGTGAAAGTTGGTGTACTCCAATTACTAGTAAATAAATGAATAATAGGAATAAAAAAGAAATAAAAAACAAAACTTTGATCAACCAATCAGAATTGTTGGACAGATAGAGCAGTTGGATGTCCCAGCATACAAATTGTCACACTCAAGATAATTTTGCAATTTTTCCCCAAAAATAAATTGAAAAGGAGAATGGTGACCACCATTTTTTATTTCTCATATTAAATTAGATGACCAAAGGGCATCCACCTAATAAAAAAAATGTGACATATGTATTTATTGGTAAAAAGAGTCGAAGGGTTTGATTTCAGGACCACTCTCAAGAACACACACAGTTCCATATTTTGTTAATAAATCTAAAAGCATTAGTACAATATTACTTGAACACAATTTACTGCATAGATTAGTGTAATTCAGATTACCCTTTGTTTGAAATTATTCCATGGTGCAATGAAGGACTATACAAAATTTGGGGAAACTGACATTTCTATTTCAATGGAATCACCTTAAGAGCAAATTTAAGAAACATACTGTCCTATGGTTATTTATGTCACTTCTGCTCTTACCTTGATTCACGCAATCCAAATTAGAAATGATGTTGAGACGAACTTCAGGAAACTATAAGAGAAAACATAGGATTCAACATGCTGTAGACTAGTTACATTGTAACTCCTATTGCTTTGATAGCCTGATACTTTTATGCATCCAGGATATGCTCCATAATGAAGGTGGGTTCCATGCAAAAGGAGGAAAACCAGAAAAACCAAACATTATTAAACCAAACAAATTATCCCTTGAATCAAGGGAGACACTAATTAAAATATACTCTACTTTGGAGGGGAGGGGGTACTACCATATGTAGCCTATGCAGGGATGCTCCACTGGATCCGGATAGGCTATGGTTTTTGCAGGGATGTTCCACTGGATCCGGATAGGCTATGGTTTTTGCAGGGATGTTCCACTGGATCCGGATAGGCTATGGTTTTTGCAGGGATGTTCCACTGGATCTGGATAGGCTATGGTTTTTGCATTAGACCATATTTAAATGGAATTTTGTGCTATATAAAAAATATATATTTGGGTGGGGNGTTCGGGGATTTTGGTCTTAGAAAGGGTGAACAATTCCTATGACATTTTCTTGAACAGGATTATCATTGTTGCCCATACAGTATTATTGTATGTTGCCCAGTATCATCACTTCAGTTTGTAATGACTATTGAGTCAGACTATATCTTCTGTGTACTAGCCACCACTATTTTCAATCGAGATTTTGAGACATTTTCAAGCTCTATTTAGTTGACTGTGCAGCAAAGCGTATGAATTTTCGCCGTGATAACTCCATTCACCTGACGATAATGGATTTTCTTTTTGGCAAACAAATGAAGCAAAATGGCTGCCATATGTGAATTTGAAAGCTGGAATATTTAGCTTTTTTTTGGCAATCTTTAATTATCAGAAAATGATTTGAGACTATCATTTTGAAATGATACTGGTACCAGGACGATACTAGGCCACATACTGTAGTGCTAGCTCTTATCAAGTCTTTGATAGGATATTGTTATGTGTATACAACATTGAATGTGGTGGTACTGTGTGTGTGCTAGAACGACTAGACACTTAAATAAAAGATATCTTATCTACTTTTTAAAATTCAAATTTGACTATGATTCATTGACACCTTTTTTTTTTGCCGCTAAACAATTTTTAGTGCATATTGTCATAATTTATAGAATTTCCCTAAGTGGTCTTAGTAGGGCTATACTTTCAAGTGTCGTGTCTTGAATAAGGTGTCTTTTCTAGGGATTGTTGTCTTAGATCAGCATCAGCCAATCATAGTACCCCCAGGCACCATAGATCAATCGTATTTGTTAATGTGTTGACTTACCTCATCTTTAAGCATGGTTAAGAAGAGGGGAAGGAGATGTTCTATAGTACTGTTAAAATAAAGAGAACAAAGGAATGATTGTCAATCAGTGAATAGACAGATATTATTGACCACAGTTGATAATAGATAACAAGTAACTTACTTATCTTTTCCTAGAAGTGGAGATAGACCCATGATGACAGATGCTAATGCTGATTTAACATGTTGGTTTGGATCAACTACTAAATCCTGAAATTATACCAAAATATACCACAGCTGTTTACATGTTTCAAATATAACAGCCAGATTGAGTGAGGATAGGAAGGCCTATGTTGGTTTCATTCTCTGTATGAAATCTTGATTTGTTTTGGGATTGCTAAGGCCAATTAAAAAATATATGTGTTTGAAAAATAATAGGGTCAGTAGTTAGGCCTTTTTGAGAAATTGGGATCCTCGTAGAAGTATCAGGAGTATTTTTTAATTTTTTGGTGTGATAGACGGCTTTAATCTCTTATTACTTTTTTTGCTCATCGTACGGGTGACATTATAAACTTTCTCTGCAGAAAATAAATTCATCCAAAAGACCAGGTCTGGCTTTATTTTTTTAAAATATCTAGTGATTAGATCTTTTTTCCCAAAAAGCATTGAAATTTTAGCTCCTGATATAAATTGCCAACTCAAGCCTTTATCGGATAAGAACTTCATGTTTATACAAGTCTGAAAGCAAGTTTCAAGTAATGTTTGTAAGCAGATGATGTAAGACGATTGATAAATGCTTAGGTATCTTATTGAGAGAGCAAGAGAGGGAGTGACACATTATTGCATATTCAGACCCTTTGCAATAACTTGTTTCTATGCTTTGTGTATCAATGAGTTTAAAATTTGATCACATCAATAACCATTACTAAAGATAAGATAAAATTTACTCTTCATTTTAGCTTATTCAGAAAAATTTCCACAATCAGTTAAGGTGGCTGACCACTGGGTTTTATCTGCACGATACCATGCAACTTCAAATCGCAAATACTCGGACGCAAACAATCCAATGTTAAAAATCTTTTTAGAGGTTTCAAATAAAAGAAGAAATTTTCGAAAGTTTTTACTGAAATTGGAATTAATATAAGATTGCTGTTAAGCGTCCATTTTTTGACCTAGGTTTTTAAATTGCTTTTGAGATATTGGAGGATAAGTAATTTGCTCCAGGTACAGAAAATTTGAAGAAAATCTGTATGAGCATTTTCGAGAAATTTCACATTGAAGTTTTGAAGTATAAAAAATTTGCAGAAACAAAACATGTTAGTAACTGAGTAGAAAAGTAGTTTGTTTTCTCAGTTTTGAGTTCCTAATTTTATCTAAAGAAGTTGGTAAATCACTTGGAATAATGGGTAAAAAATTTATAGAAATCATACCATTTGATATTTCAAAATATTAGGTCGACTTAAATTGGCTATGAGCCGTATTTTTGGACTACTGTGTTATATGTTAATTAACCTGCTCGTAAATTCAAATCTACTCAATGAATCTCTAAAAAAAAATTAGTATTGGATTTTTTGCGTCTGAGTATTTGTGATTTGCAGTTGCATGGTATTGCGCGGATAAAACCCTGTGGAGCCACCTTAAATGTTATTTACCTTTACACAAGGAAGAATATTGGTCATCAGAACATTTTCTCTGATCTCTGGTGACAAACCCTCACAAAAATCTAGACATTTGTAAAACAATAATCATCATTAGTCAAATTCAACTTGTGGTCTAACATCAATGCTACATTCTTATTGGATAAGCTACTAGTGGCTATAAGTCATAGCCTACTAAAGTTCTGGCTTTGAAAGTCAAAAAATTGAATCTGTAACTTTAATTCAAGATCATTTGCATCTAAATACTTGACCGACTAGTTGGATCTGACTAAAACAATTAGTCCTCTCACCCTCATGGCCTATGATTGAATAGCCCATTTGGCCTTTGGACTTATGAGCTATTGACTCATAGCCCATTTGTGCTCAAGGACTAATTTCAGTCCTTTTAGTTTTTATAATGGTTAGGAACGAGTACCTTTAACTTTCCCTGCGGCAGCAGCCCTGACCTCGGCTTCACAATCCTTCAGTAGTAGCTGGAATGCAAGAACCAAGTCATTCTGGGTAATCTCTGGACCAACTGCTTTTTGTAACTAAAAATCAAATGCACCAAAAATGTTACTTAGTACACATCTTAGGTTCTGTATGAGATATTTATATAGAATACACTTACTTCTGTAAACTTGTCTGCTATCATATAGCGCACCCTCCATGACTTATCCTGGAAAAAAAGTCACATAAGATGAACATCTTTATTAAATGTATGTAACTGAACAATGAAATTTTTAACATTCTTTACATTCTATTGCTTCTAAATTTTAAAATATTGAGAGTAGAATATCCAGAAGCTACTAAAATAATTCTTAAATGAAAATATCTAACTTTTCTTCAATGGCTGACATTGTCATACAATCAATCAATCAGTCAATCAATCAATAGGATTTAGCAGTGGCATTTCCAGAGTGGCACTTCATCCATTCCAATTGGAATTTTTAGAAGGTGATTTTAGTGGATGAAGGAAATCAGGAGAACCCGGAGAAAAACTCTCCAAGCATAGGAGAGAACCAACAAACAACTCAACTCACATACGACACTGAGCCCAGCAGGACTTGAACCAGGGTCGCACTGATGAGAAGTGAGCATTCTCATGGCTAACCCCATACTTCCCTTATGACATACCAGTCATACCTCAGTCATACTTACGAATGCTGATGTTTTGACGATAGGCATGAGCAATGCTTCTTTATCTTCATTTGGGAGAGTAGAGGCAATGAGTGGACAGTTTTCAACAGCAAGAATGCGCACAGAGTCTTGCTCATCAGATGCAAGGTTGTTGAACATGGGCATTAAGTCAGACTTGATGAATTCCAACTCCATGACTTTAGCAAATTCCTGATACAAAATAAAAAGAATCCAGTCAATTTAACAGCACAACAAGACCTTACCCAAGAGACCTTTGCAGGTTATCTGCTATAGCTGTCAATTAAGGTGATTCCCTTGAAAGAAATTTTGCCAATAACATTGCCCTGAAACTTTGTATGGACATTAATTATGTTATGGTCATTAAAAAACTGTAATAAAAAGATGGGGTTACAATTCCCGTTTTTTTGCTAGATGCTGTCCAAATGTGTCAATTTATGGGTTTTATAGTGAAATATGGCAGCAACCAGAGGCTGTAATCAAAAACCTTTATACACAATTAAAAGTAGTTTCATATAATAAAACGTAATTATAACTCAAAGTTTACTAGATAATCTATACTATTAAATCCATCAAAGTCATTGGATAACTATGATTCTTGAGCTATTAGTAAAAAATGCAGGTACCTGTGCCTCTACAAATGTCCAAAAGTTGCACATGTCAACTATTCCCATCAAAATGTTTCAAAATCTATTCAATAAGATGAAGTTGCTAACACGTACACTACATCGATTCCTTAAGGCCTTTTCTCGCCACTCCTTCTAGCTCACTTTCCTCGCTCACACTTTCATCGGGAGTATTATATTCTTCTCTTTAAGCAATTTCCGGCTCAAATTGATAAAGAACAGCCACACTTCAACAGCAAAATTTGGCTGATTCAAACCCAGCTATCCAACATGTACCACTATCTGACGTCATCACAGCCCTGGCATCCCAAGCCATCAAATATGCGATATTCCACAGGGAGTCCAGTTATATTATTTTGCAACTTTGATGGACAATATCAACCCATAAAATGCATTTCATGGAATTTTAAGCTATGATCTGTCTGGTACCTCAGAGCCCCTTTAAAGTTTTTGTTGAAAACGTGAAAATGCACAAATTTTTGCTGTTTGATTGGCTCACTAGTAAAAAAATTAGTTGGGTGTCCATGGTATGGGTAGTTGAGAGGTTTTTTGCTTTGACACCAGATATTGGGTCATCTAATAGCATGTTTTTTGATGCATGTCTATTGTTGTTCTCAGTGTGTTCTATAAGTTGAGGTCAATATTTTAAGACAAATTTTAGGGCTGGCAATTTGCCTTAAACACAGGCATTTATGGTAGTGTGTTTAAGAATGAATAACTAGACAAAGGAAATCTAAAAATATCAGCCAGTCAAATGACAATATCAGACTAGAATTGGTGCCTCTCTGGCCAAATGCCTTTTATGCAAATTAGTTTTAGCTTGGTCATACCTATTTTCTGGATCAACATTACTGGTCAAAATAACAAGTGAATCAAAGAATTGACAATCAAACTTCCAATTCTGGCGGGACATTGTCCAATGATCAGCATATACTTTTAGCCCTGTACTTGCCCCTATTTTTCCTGCAGCTGCCCGTCGAACCATAGGAGTGTCATCATTGCATAGATTTCTAAACATTCTAAAACCAAAGGCAAACAAAGGTATTAATTGTTATCTTACTACATATCTCTCTCATACTAATGTTTGACTTACCCTCTAAGTTCTGCCTTTAAGTTAGAATTTACACGAGAATAACAAACTGAGAACAGACCACATGCAGATGTCCTGAGAGTGAACCAGTCCCCTGGAAAGACAAACAAAATGATCAGACTAAATGCTTATAAATCCTTTGAATGAGGCCTAAGTCTTAAACAAACTCAACAAAGGTTTAAGATAAAGCTCTAAACCTTGTCAACCCAAACCAGTGATTCCTCAATTCAGATATTAGAGCAATTATAATCTTGAAAATGACTAATGGTACCAATGTGCTGTACCATGGTCATTACATTAAGGTATCTGTGCATTTTCATTGAATCATTGACTTGCATTCTCATGCTATGACCATATCATGCAGCATATATTTTTACGGTTATGAAATCTATACTATAGAGTATACCTTGAGCTAATCTTTTGACTAATGGAAAATAATGGTTCTCCAAATCCTGTGTTGACAAATCCCCAGCTATTACTCTCAGGGAGTCTACAGCCTGCATTCACAATATATAATACATAATTCAATAGTTATCTCTGTACTGATACAGAAACAATACCATTTACATCAATACTAAACTTACATACAGTGTTCTACATCTTTTGGGCAACATAGATATCATATCCAACCCTATTGTAAGGGCAATCAAGGTATGACTTTACCTTATCTCTGACTACTGTCTCCTCTACAGTTGCAAGATTTTCCAGCGGTGGCTGAAAACAAGATAAATATAAATTAGACAATTAAAATAAATTTTTTTCAATAAAGCTATTCGTATAAACAAGAGTTGGCAATGTGAAAGATGACAATGTCAGACATTTTAGTCCACCAGATTCTTGGAAGGAATTCCTGACAGAAGGCCAATTTCAGAAGTATAATGTCTCTCAGAATGATCAGTTCCCCTTCTTGATGACCAGCCAAATTATCTCTGTGGCACCTCATTTCTGGTCAGTCAAAACTTTTATTTATACATTAAGCAATACTTGAGCGATATTGAAATCATTACTGCAAATGCCCAGCTTATCAATTACCCATAATACCCTTCTATCCTTGCTTTGATGTTTTAACCTTATCAACCTGTCGAGGTTTTTTCATTTTAGTGTATTTGATGTTTATTTAACCTTTTGACTCCTATGACACCTGAAACTGCCCATAAAAAACACACACCTTATTTTTAAAATGTGCATGATTCACAGCTTCATGGATTTTAGTGTACGGCATGGAAGGCTTCAAAGTTTTAAGACCTTCAATGAAATCAAAACACTGCTTCCAAATCTTTTTCACCATAATTCTACTGACTTTAAAATGTTCGGCAACTTCACTCAGCGAGCCTGGGAAATGTCCAGTTAATATATCGCCACCTTAATTGATCATATGGTCCAAATTGCAGTACGTACATCAAGACCAAGAGATTTTCAGCGATGCCATGTTCGCCCTTTCTTCGATACAATCATACTAGTATTCGTTTTGTTTTTTTTAGCGTGCTGTCAGTCAGATGTTATTCGCGTAGTACACTTTAACGCCATCACGTGGTGTATAAAATTCGATAATGTGGTACCAAAAAAAAAAAAAAAAGCCGGTCAAATGAAAAAAAACGAAGGTTGTCACAGTCTGAGAAGAGCAGGAAAATTTTCAGTTTTTGAAATACCTCCATATCAATCTGGCTCTTAAAATGTTTAGTTTTCAAAACACCTTCATACCAATCTGCTGTTGCTTTGTAAAAAATTTTTCTTCTGGAATATCAAGCAACTAGTGAACTTTGTACCTGATTTGCATAAAACACTGACAATGTTTTTTCAATGGCTTGAAAAAGGTTTAGGTCCAGGAAAAAACGATAAAGGATCTCAAAAATGCCCAGGAGTCAAAGGGCTAAAGAGTAAAAGAGGGTTAAATAGTGTGTTTTATTGAAGCTACTTTTAGCATACCAGCAAACAATGTGCATGTTCTGGCCCACCAACTAATGGAATGAAGCTTCCAAGCTGAAAATAACAAAAAGGGTAAAAACACTTCTGTTATTAGTTTAATATCATATTCATGTATATCAAACACTGGGAGATAAAAAACATGGCATCTACTGTACTTTATTTGTATTGATCATCATTTAATGATGTAACATTGACAAGATCTAATTGGACAAAACAAATAATGAAACCATATGAAAGCATGTAATACATGTTGTGCACAAGATAAGGTTTATATTTAAAAGATGCTGTCATCATAGGCTGTGTTGCTATACCTGTTCGGCCAATGCTAACAAAACTTCATCTTCATCATATATTGTGTCTACAGATAAGATGAGATAACAAAATTATGAATCAGAAGAATCAGACTAAATAAAACAATAAAATGACTCTTGTTTGCCAGACCTGATTAAACTTCCTGTGAAAAATAGAATAAAATAGAATGTAACTTTTAACCAATTTAAACATTTGATTTTACGACTCTAAATCTTCAGTTTCTTTCGTTTACTAAACAACAACTCTTTCAATAGCTTGATGTCAATGTCAACATAATTTTACACTGCCAATCAAAATAAATGTTGTTATTGTCATCAAAATTGTGTTTACTGAAGTTTTTCATATTCAGCGAACTCAAAAATTCCAAGGGCTTGTCATGAAATTGGTTTTTCACTGCCGCCAGTCAAGAACATAATAGGTAGCAAGAAACAAAGTTTCAGTGTGCAGCTTGCAACTAACAAGTTTGCAGAATATGAAATACTGCAGTAAGCTTATGTACTCTATGTTGAGTTTTTAAACTATCTCTACCTTTTAATCAATTGGTCAAAAATAAAATAGCCAAGAAAAATCAGTTAGATCTCCTACAATAACTGACGCTAAAAAGCCCCATGGGAAAGTTTTCAATAAAGTATGTATGTAAGTAACAAGAAAATAAGGCCAAGAATTATTATTAATTTTCTAGAAATAAAGAGAAGGAATGGAAAGTCGGAGAAAGGTTTGACAAATCACAAATTACAATACTTAAAGTCCATTTTTATTGATATTACTTTAGTTAATTATTGTACTTAGCTAGACGTCAATGACAAATACCAAAAGGTGTATAAAGAATTCCTCTGCAAAATGCTTCGAATAAATCAAACAAAATGGGCATGGCATGAAATTAGCCACTACTAGTATGAGATTGATAGCATATTGGATTGAATTTTTAGGAATTTTTGAAATGAAAGTCAAGTTAATAGCTGTAAAACATTCACCATCTCAAATGAAATATTTGCAAGGATGGAGCCTTCCTGAAACTTTACCGTTTGTTCCTATTACGTCTATATGGAATTAAAATCTAGCCCCAACAACTTACCTAAGAACTAAGAATTAAACTAGAGCGATAAATAATTAGTTCACCTGTTAGAAATGGGATTAATTCGCTTCTCGTTCTCTCCAGACCTAAAGCCAAAGCTATGGTAGACAGTTTTTTGATTGAATTAAGCCTCAACTATGAACGAAAAAAGGCGAGAAAAAACATTAAGGCGCGAATGGCGATGCTGAATTCACTCAAAATACATAGTTTAGTAATTTAACTTTGATGTTACGTACTTGTACATCTTCATTTCGTAGTTCATCAATAAGAACTGCAATAGGATAGAGCGAGTCATCTCCATCACTGGACGCCATGTTGAAATCCTTCTTCCTTACTGACACTCGTTCGCTTTGCTCGGCGGCTGGGGGCCTCGTTAGCAACTGAAGGGCTCTACATCCGGGGGGTGTAACGTTACCACAGGAAACCTGATCGAGCTAGAGCAAGGAAATTGTAAATACATTAAAATATTTAAAATGCATTAAAAAAATAATGGTCTGATGAATAGAAAAACAGCTTACAAACATTTTAAAAATAAAGAGAAAGGTAAAAAAAAAGTTTACTTTTTCTAAATTGTGGGGAAAATCGTATGTATTTTTTTCTATTTGTTAATTTAATCAATATTTATTATATACAAATTTATTAATAAATTCAAATCCAGCGCTGCAAGTCTAAAAAAATTAATTTAGCTAATAAGATATTTTTTCGTCTTTTTTTAAAAAAATTGAAAAAATAAGATTACATTTTATTTATATCAAAAGTTGACAACTGGTGCACCCCCCTCGAAAGTATTCGTTATAGAACGCGCCTCAGCCCAGGCTTCTCACGGTAGTATAAACATGGTGGATTGTTTTGTACACAAATATTGAAGCTGTTACAAAAAATTTATTTTTACGATTTGTAAAGTGTTTTGAAACGTGAAATATACCAAAATGAACCGAGGGCACCACATTTATCTCGAGAAGACAGGCCAAGCACCATCACCAAGTAAAGACTTTCACCAACTGATCGTGCAAGATCATGAAGTCATTTGGAGAACATGGAAGATATCTCTACGAAAAGACCTCAAAGCAATCCCTCCATCGCAGAAAAAGATCTCCTGGGAAGATTTCGATTATGATGATATCGCTCAGTTGGACATAGCAAGGGTGTTTGGTGAAGATACACTTCGTTTGGTTCATGGCTTGGTATGTGGAGACTGGCTTGTTCGTTTACCAGAGAGCGTTGTTGTCCATATAGCAAGCTATCTTGACCTTGTTGACATAGCGAGATTGGGATCGCTTTGCAAGTTTTTGAGGAAAGTCTGCTCTAGTAACGAGCTATGGGAAAAAATCTATCGCAAACACTGTGACACCGTTACGAAAGAGATCCAAGAACTAGCACATGAGGTTGGTTGGAAGAAAACCTTTTTCACGAATAGATTACAACTACAAGTTCAAGTGAGAAGAAGGAAGGAAAAGAACAGTGCAGACTTGAAGCTGAGAGCTGCACAACTTGCTCATCGAGAAGAACCAGTCAAACCAGCTGGAACGGCATTCTTGACTCAAACAAATGATTGATTTATTACTGTCATCGCTCGTGTCTTCATTTGTAGAAGTGGTATTTTAGTGTGTTCAGAAACCTTTCGAAAAGCTAAAACTGTGCGAGTTCTGTGCTTATAAAGCAACATACTGAATATATAACAGCTGATCTTTTCTAGTCAGTGGTCTGCTTTTCTTAAATGATTTAATATAAATGAAAACGATAACAAGGTTTTTTCTCAAAGTCTTGATGCTATTTGATGCATCTAGAATTATATTTGATTTAATATATAGTCTCCTCCAGCAGCTATTAGTGTCGTCATACTACTTAGGGGAGGGAGCATTGCATGAAGATACTAATTGCGGCTGTGCTAATTACACTTTGTTTCATGGCTTAATAAAAACCACTCTAACCTGTGAATCAAAGTGTATAACATAACATAACATAACATAACATAACAAATAACAATAACAGGATGTAATTAAAGTTATTAGTGTTAACTTTAGATGCTAGTCAATCAAATACAAGAGACAAAAAGGTGAAACTATAGCAGTGTGATAAATGGTTTATTGTACGACATAAAAGAAAAAAGAAAGAGTGCACACAAAAATTTTTTTTTGTAAACAAGCAAACTTGAAAGTCACAAACTCGTACCACTGATGTGAGCCACACAAAGGAAAAGGAGAAAGCTTCCTTGCACTGATCAATGATGTGCATTAGCAAAAAATCCATTCAAAACCAGTTCACAGACCGCATATTATCATTCTGAAAGATGGTGGTAATGCATGGGAAATTGAGTGTGTTGTATAATAAGCATATTAGTCCTAAATATGCTAAAGTGTATTTGAATACTTAATTACAGTTGGTTTCAAATTACTTTACACTTTTGGGTTTCGAACTATGTTTAAAATTGCCAATTGGCAACCAATTTTGGAACTTTTAAACCATAGTTTGTTATGAACTTCTGAACTTTTCACCAAAGTTTGGAACTTGGTTGGCCTATTTTGTAGCAAGCCAACACCATTTCCAACCAGTAGGTTCTGGATTTCTTTGTCATGTATGATTGGCCTTGTTTGCTTCCCGGGGGGGGGGGGGGG